GTGGCAATAACCTGCCCTGCTATGTTAAAGATGAAGTGAAATAAACGAAATAAGAGGAAACAAAAACTGAAGGTCAGTTATGGCGGCGTCCATGCACAGCTGCTGCAAAGCGTCTATAGGGGCCTGGAGTGGTTCTGCATATTAAAAGTGCCAGGTCAGGGTCTTCGGCCCCCTTAAAGATGTCTTTAGCAACCTTTACCATTCGTCCTGCTTCTCCTTTGCTTTTGGGACAGTGTGAACTGATCTTTATGTGGCAAACCTGGTACTGCTTTGTAAATTCTTCAAAAGTTTGGGACGTAAACTGCGGTCCATTGTCCGACCTGAACAGCTCAGGTGTCCCAAGGCGGGAAAACACAGACTTGAGGTCGGCCACAACCACCTCCGATGTTGTTTGACGCAGAAGGCACACTACTATAAACCGGGAGTAGTAATTAACTACTATCAGTAGTTCTTGCCCTTCAATTCAAATAGATCCGCTGCCACTCGTTGCCATCAATAACCCGGAAGCTCCGAGGCTATCATGGGTTCCATCCTTGGCGTGCGCTCTTTGACACAGTTTGCGCAGTTTGCAACCATGTCTTGCAACTCGGTGCTCAGTCCTGGCCACCACACTGACCTCCTCGCTCGCTCTCGCACTTGGATAATTCATAGCAACCTGCATGCAACTTCCACAGTACGTTCTTCCTCATTGACTTGGGGATACAAGTTGAATGTCCTTCACCAAGAGGTTCCTATGGTGAGGATGTCCTGTTCCTGAAGTAAGGCGCGATCTCGGGAGAGATCCCACGTGACTCCATAGGCCTCTCTATCTGTGCATACCCTCCTTCTGTCTCACTCAGCCCTTTGGATTCAAACGCAAACGGATGCACGATCCCTTGTCCACCTTTTTGCAACAGCGCTGCACCTAGTTCGTAAGACAAGGCGTCTGCTAACACTATCCGCTGCTGTCCGGGATCGTACAGTGTCAAAGTTCCAGCTTCCTTGATGGCCTCCCTCACTTGGTCGAATTCTTTTTGTTGCTGGATGTCCCAGTTTCATTCACTGTCTTTAATAAGGACATCTCTTATGTGTTTCAGCTTCTCCGAAAGGTTTCGCAAAAACCGCCCGACTTGACTGGCCATGCCAATACATGACTTGCACTGACGTCATCGCATACTTTTACGAGGAGGAGAGGGAAGCTGCTTTTGTATGAATTTTTAGTGGCGGGTTGATCTTCGGATAATCCGGGAGAAGAATAGTGACGTCTGTGCAAATCCGGGATGCACAAAAGAGGATCCTGGTAAGAAAGGAGCTCCTTCTTCCCCACTTCTCTGGTGGTCATCGAAGCGCTCTTTGAATGACGTGACGTGCAAGTCATTGACGGATTGGCGAACCTCAGTGTCACAAACCGGTGTAGGGAAGTCTACGATTGCTCTCCCTTTTTCCGGATCTGGCCGGATCCCCTCTGCACTCAGGACGTGTCCCAAGAACTTCACCGACGTCTTTGAAAACTCACGCTTGCCATTAAAGGAACAGTGACACCCAACAAAATATTTGTTTTGAATCGCCCATTTCCAGGCGATTCATTAGGGTGTCAAAAGACTACCCAATCTATATTTCGCTGCAGCATCACATATATTTTTAATAAAGTAAAAAAAACGCAACTGCTCGAAGCCGAAATAAAAACTGGACTGGGGAGGAAAACGAAATGTAGAGGAGGAGAGAGTTGGTGGAAGTCACGTTCCTGTGCAACTTTTGTTTTCTTCAATCAACGTATTTGCGGCCTTTTAGAAGCCACAAAAATGGGTATCATATTTCTTCTCTATATTTAATATTCAGTGGGTGCCTTCGATGACCCACGACTTTGATTATATTTGGTCGTTCTGTCTAAACCACACAAAATGGCACGTGACCACGGAGAAAAGAGTAAGCACGACCCAAACCGGTCAGTTTTCAATCGGCGGTTTTCGGGCAAAAAGAAAACGAATTTTGAGTCGCAAATTGTGTTCTGGGTAGATGGGCTCTCACTTGTCATGTACAAATAAAACCTTGGCGAGCATAAATACCCTGTCAGTGTCCCTTTAAGAGTGATTCTTGCAGCATTGAGTCTCATCAGGACCTCTTTCAGCCTCTTGTAATGTTCCGAGACGTCTGCTCCCGTGATCAAAATGTCGTCCATGTGACACAACACTCCAGGTATCCCTTTGAAAACTTGGTTCATGCATCTCTCGAAATGCTCCTGTGCTGAGATGCCAAAGGGAAGCCTTCGGAAACAAAACCTCCCAAATGGGGTTATGAGTGTCGTGAGCAGTTGGGATTTTTGTGCCAGTTTTACTTGTTCAAATCAGCTGTTGCATCTAGCTTGGAAAATATATTTCTGCCAGAAAGGCGTTTCACAGTTTCTTCTACTGATGGAAGGACAAGCTTCTCCCTGTTTATGCTCTTGTTGAGGTTTGTCAAGTCAACACAAAATCTGACCTCCCAATTTGGTTTGGGAATCACCACCATGGCTGAGCACCAGGGTGTCGGATTTTCCACTTTTCGGATGATGCCGTCTTCCTCCATCTCCTTCAGCTAAAGCTTGACCTTGTCCAACAGCGACGGGACGTGTTCACTGACACCGGGCTTGCGTTGGCCTTAAGCTTAATCACCTTGCATTACCCCTAGTCCATTAAACAGTCCTGGAAACCTCCCTGTGCTTGCACGGTGTTCCAGCAAGAATTCTTCCAGTCCGTCCACGACATACATCTCTAGACTGATGCTGTTTTTTCCACAACTGAGCGTAGCTTTGAGCACTCCCAGTACCTTGAGAGGCTGCCCCCAGGCTAGCTCCATACAGTCTCACCGTTGTGTCTCTCACTTCAGTTTCATATGGTACCACTCGTGGCAGCAAAAGCATTGACATCAGCTCCGGTGCCTATTATGAAACAAACCGGGTTTCCCGTTAACCTAGTTTTTTGTTCGTTTGTTTTTTCCTCCACGCTGCTGTGTTTTTCCTACCTTTAGCGCTCCCATTATCCACTTTTCTGGTGAAGCCTCTTTCTCTTCTGTCGTGACCTCCTCAGACATCTTTTTTGGCACATATTTTGTCAGTGGCCTCTCTTATCGCAGGAATGGCGCTTGGATGTGGATGCTGGTTAGCTATTTCTTTTGTGAAACCTTTGCCCGCCGCATCTCCCGCAACCGTGGACCGACCCGTGCGGCGACATTTTCCATCCCGCGATCTTGTTTGCTGCATCCCTGGAACTGAAACGGCCTTGGCTGGCTGCTTTCCACAGGGCGTGGACAGATGACACCTCCTCTGTTTGGTTTTCCTGACGCACGACAGCCTGTTTTCTCCGTACGGCTTCTTTCTGTCTCGCCTACCGTACCGCCCTTTAAGGTGAGCCCTGGATCCCTTTGCAAGGTCATGGACAGCTTGGCATTTTGCAGACCAACCACCAGGCGGTCACGCACCAATTCATCCTTAATTAAGCGGTCCGTAACCGCAGTGAGCCACAGTTTGTGCAGGGCCGTCACGAACAACGCAACTGTTTCGCCCGGTTCTTGCTTCCGCTGGTGAAATCTTGCTCGCTCCTAGATGACGTTTCGTTTCTCCACACAGTGTCTTTGCAACATATCGATGACCATGTCAAAGTCCACCTTTCTTTCCTCTGACAGCGTCACTGCTGCCAGCATATCTTCCGTGTCTCCGTCCAGGCAGTTGATTAAAACGTACACTTGAGCTGGCCCGTCTTCCTCGATGAGCCGCCTCATGAAGCCGGCAGGGCCATGCTGTCCACTCTTTTGGGCATTTGAAGTCGAACTGTGTTGGCGGCGCGAAACTTAATTCAGGTTTCTTTGACCGCTGCTCTCGTTGCTCTCCTGTAGCCATCTTGTCTTCTCCGACGACGCGGGCGAGCTTAGCGATGTTTTGGCTCTCTTTGGCCATACTTCCTCTTTTTTTTTTTCTCACTGCGGCCATCGTTTGTCTCCTACTTTTCCAACCTTTCTGGCTGTCCGTGCCCCACTTCTGACACCATGGCGTTATTCGGCTTGCAGCAAGAAGTGGGAGCCATCATGAAAAACACGGGTGGCCTGAGTAACGAACGCGCGCCCAACTAAGTGCGCCCTCTCTAGGGGGCTCATGAACGTAAATAGTTCCACAGTTGGGAGGTCGAATGTGCTAATTTATAGCATAAATTATTAAGCTTAGATGCTTTCTGGGCCTACCTGCGCCTACGAAGGTTCAGGAACGCCTTATAAGGTAAGGAAAACAGTGACATTATATACCATCTGAAACCTACTTAACCAGAAAAAACGTGGACCAGTAGTGTTGCTTTCGAAATGAGTAATATCACAGTTGTTAAGGGCTCGACACCATCTGTAATGTTGCATTTATGTCTATGCCATTTTGCTAAAACACCTGAGACTGGATGAGAAGATTTTGAGACAACCAAAAGAAGATCGAAGAGACAGGAAAAGTAGTCAGTCAGACGAAGTCTCAAAATGAGACCTCGTCTGACTGACTTCTTTCCCTGTCTCTTCTACTTTTGGTTGTTTCAAGATATTTTTCCCAGTCTCAGGTGTTTTAAAGTAATAGTAAACTTACACCAGCTCTCCTGCGCCCTCACAGTGTTGACTTTATGTCGCAGTCACTGAACTAAACCTCAGCTGGAAGCGAAACGTAAGAAAAAAAGGCACTGACATACCAACGCATTCAGACGTGCTATCTTCAAGAATGTCTGCTACTAAGACTGCACGGAGGTTACAAAAGGACGTCGGCCTTCACTTAATTTTTGCCTTGATCCTACAACCAATGCCCCGTTTGAAGCCTCGTAGACACCCTTATTGTGTCGAACCTTGTAAGCCAGTGGCAGAGCAACTAATTTAAGTCGAATGTTTAATGAACATTAGAAAGAAAAAGCGGGCCGCAGAAAACCTAACTGAAGGCCACAGGCGTCCCGCAGACGCATCTCTGCTTGGTCCACCCCACGGCAACATTCGGTGGTCTAGAGCCTGGTAGACATCGGGCAACTCACCGACGGGACGCGTAATTTCCAGCAGACCAGCATCGCCCATCTTCTTGAAGAGCGTGCGGCCGTCGAACTGCCCGGCCTTCTCCCATTGGTCGACGTACGGATTGATGTCCTTTTCTACTATCTGCAACAAGAGCACGTCGGCCAGCGTAACTGCAGGATGCCCGCAAGGCCAGGGGGGATCTGCTAGGTCCCTCGCTGAAGAGGTTCTCGGAGGTATTTAGTTCCCTCGATTGTCACAAAAGCAGTTCTCGGTATTTCATACCGTCCACAATTTCACCACATCACTGTCCTTTCTAGCTATTCCCCTTCCTCGCTCTCTACCCCACTTCACCCTTTCACTCAACCACGCCGGCTCTCACTCTTAAGCGAATACCTTCCCCCGAGTCCTTCCCGCCAACTTCAAGTGATCTTTTTGTAACGCTATGGTAACTGCCGACAAATAACGACAAATAATGCCGTTCGCACCAGAGGAAGCAAGGAGACGGCGATTCAGCAAAACAGCAGATACAAAAAAAAAATGAACAGGGGCAAGGAAGGGGGCGAAGATTCGCCACCGCTTCGTCTTGCGTGCAAGGATCTGATCCCGTCAGTTTTAAAAAGTACTGCTTCAAGGAGGTTTAGAATACTTGTACAGTCTCCTGCTATTGGAAAGACCCAGTGGGAGCGCGTGGCCGAGACGCTCCAGGCAATTTCATTCTGCCTCGAAGGGTGGGCATGCTCATTCGGAACTCAACCGGGCTTGAACACGCTGAACAATTATTGGTTTCGGTTTAGCGGAAGAGTGCGCTCCATCGGCGTCATCAACACAGATATGGCCACGAAGGCTGGAAACAAGCCAGTCATCTGTGTTTTTATCATATGTTTATGGTGTAAAATGTCGGGAACAACAACTGCCAAATAAACGAATATCAAAGTTGTTGAAGACCGGATTCATTGGTTAGAAGGATGGCACGGATCTCGCGCTTCAACCGTCATAATAATCGCCTTGGCTTAGGCCAGTCTCTCTGAAGGGCGGTTCACACAGTTGCGTAGAGTCGGACCGAGTGCGAGGGCTGCTATAGATACAGCTGCGTTCGTAACAGCTGCGTTGGAGCCGATGCAGCTGTTGCCATAGCAACCCACGTACTCGGTCCGACTCTACGCAACTGTGTGAATCGCCCTTCATGCGGCAATTGCGGCGTTAGAAGGACATAGCCGTGGCATGACGCTGACGAAGTGCTCTCCGGCGCAAAATTGAAATTGATAAGCGCATGCGGCGCTTAGATGAGGCCCGAGGGAGCCCTTCCCTCGGGGCCCATAAACGTGAGGACTGCCGCGAAAACTAAGCTTTCCACTGGCTATTATATAAGGAACTGAAGAAGCGTCTCAGAACAAAGGGAGTTTTTAGGTGTGCCTTTGCCGGAATATTTTTGCGATACATGCTAATAGTAAGCAAATATTCAGAACCAAACAAGTCTGTGGCAACAGCTGGCCGACACTATGGCGGTGTGTTCTGCGGCGTTATCCCAGCCGAGCAGGCCGAGGAACGAGTGGAAGTCATTAGAAAGAGCCTGAAAAAACGCCAAATAAAAAAAAAAAAAAAGTCGGGCTATCTCTCGGGTGCATTTCGAATACGAGGAGTACGCACGTTCACTAACCGTTTATTTTGATCATCAATTGTATGGGGTAGCAGAAACGCACCTTAGAGATGAGGAGGAACCACCGTACATACCAGCCTACTCCTAGATGGGAGGCAACCGGAGGGCAGGTGAACGCAAAGGTGGAGGTCTAGGCAAGTTAAAGGACAAGACTGAGAAACAGACAAGGAAAACTTCAGAGAATACGTATGGCCTAAAGGTAAGGTAACATGTCTGAACATTCTTCTGGGGTTTGCTTACCTTAAAACAGGAAATGGCTCAAGGGAGGAAAATACAGAACACTTTACATGTATGTCAAGAGACACCAGACAAACTGGCCTTGATCAGGAAATAATTATGTGAGAAAGAATGCCCAATTAAAAGATTTCGACGGGTTCACAGGTACAACCGGAAAATTGTTAGAAGATTTCTGTGATGACCTGGACCTAGTGCTAGTTAATGCACAAGTAAAATGCGACGGGAAAATAACGTGGGAACGAAACAACTCACACAACGATAGACTACTGCCTCCTGTCAGAGACTTCACTACCCCTGTCTTTACAATTTTAGAATGACAACTTTGCTTCAATAAGAGGGGTTTTGGCGCCTGCTTCACATATTCCCTACACAGCCCATTGCCTACATAAATGCGTAAATCCAAAAATTGAATGACATTCTCCTCCGGTTTTCCCACATTGAAATGCAGCTCCAAGGCCGTTGAACTTATTACATTTTGTAGGGACTACGATTAGTGACCTTGAAAAGTGCACACAATTACGTCAGAGATAATATAGTAAGGGTGCAGGCGAGCTGGTGAATGTTAACCACGTTGAATAAACTGACTGGGGCAGAGATGAACATGTAAGACGAAGGAACAGGAAGGGTCAGGACGACGCCTCAAGACGTCGTCCTGTCCTTTTCTGTTCCCTCGACTTATATGTTCGCTTCTGCTCCAGTCTCAGGTTTATTCAACATGGTTAACAATTATGTCGTCTACATAGCTTCGAACAAAGCCTACATTTGGGGGCAACTCTCTCACCTTCTCAATAACAAATCTGTCTAGGGTGTTGAGATAAAACTCGGCCGAAAGCGGCGCGAGCCTCCTGCTGCACGCACATCCGTTCATCATACAATAATTGTTGAATGCAGGTATAAACGGTCCAGAACTGTGAGAAAACCATCTACCGACACTCCCGACTCTGACTGAAATTTTACTAGATTTAGCTCGAACAGTTCTTTCACCGTTGTCATCAGTCCTTTGTTTTCAGGATAATAATATAGATTCTTTATGTCCATTGAGAAAACTGAAGATTTTCTACCGTAATTGCTATTCATAACATCGATAAGCTCTCCTGAATTTCGTAAGGATAGAGATTGATCCAAGGTGATTAACCCTAACCCACGTTGGAGAAAAGGTTGATCAGCTTGGTATTAGCGCGTGCTTTCTGTATGTCTTTTTAGATGCGATACTTCGTTTTTTGTGCTTTTTGTTTTGTGTTTTTAGGCCAAATCTCTTCCTTTTCTGTTCTCAACTGTGCGCGTATATATTGCACTGTTGCGCCCAATAAAATGTAGTTGCGACAGCGCGCTGTCTGTGTCTTCCGTCATGCAGTCCGTAGTCTTTTTGCGCTGTTTTCTTCTTTACGTCGTACAAACTCGGCCAAGCTTCAACCTTAGCAACAATTATTTTGGAACGCGCAGGAAAACGCGCTATGATGGGGTAGGGCGCTGCTCTCCCGGCCATTCGGTCGAGGGCACTAGTTCTTCGCCGTCTGGCGCAGACGCTCTCCGCTCGTCCGAAAGCGCACCATCCAAACCAACGCGTATGGTTCTGCCTCGGAAAGCGGCCCGGAAACAGCGAAAACGATACGCAATTTCCGGGAGGCGCACGGCCTACGCGCGCACAAAAAACGCGTTGGTTTGGATCGCGCTTAAAGGGGTACTCCGGCGATATTCTGAGCCACCTAACTATATTTCTGAAATCGCCATATTTTACTCTTTCCGGCATGGTATTTAGTTTCGCGAAAATCAAAATAGTTATTGTGAAATCGGCAAATGAAAATGACGCCAAAACCAAGATTCGAATGTACCCGCGCTTTTCATTGCCGTAACGTCACGGGCAGGCAGGCTTGCGGTTCGAGCGGGCTGTCTAGATATGAACTATGCCGAGCATTTGTTTCGTGCTGCTGCGCGGGAGCCGGAGCGACCTTCCAAAGCATTCATTTGACACCGTGAAACAGTTTGTAATCAGTTGGGAACAAAGTCTACAGCCCAAAGAGTGAACCCCTGCCTTCCCATGACGTCACTTTTTCAATGTTCCCAGTAGGGTTTCTCACTTCGAAAAACACGATAAGGACCAAAATTGTAAGTTCTATAACTTCGCGAAAAAAAGTTATTTTGGACAAATATTCGGGTTACTATTTGAGCGATGTTTGTTGGTCTGTTTAGCAAGTTTTAGGCCAATCGGGGACTATGAAGAAAACGCCATGCCAGCCTATCTCGTCACAAATGCTGTAAATATATATATATTATATGGGTGTTTTCCTCTCAAATCGTGCAGGCAAAAAAAGGTCGAATTTTTAATTTTGCTGAAAAAAAATATATGTTATGGCATCGTCTCTAACAACGCTGTGGCCACAAACCGCAAGTTCGTCGGATTTTTCCTTCTCGACTTACAAATTTTCAAAGAGACCGCGGCGGAAAGCAGTGTTTTTCACATCCGTCGAGGGTCGGATGTTTCGCTCGATCTCCCGCCGTGGATTTTCAGTCCACATTATATTTACTTTTTTCACGCAGTCTTTGAGAACAGTTAAAAAGTTCTAATGCTATGAAATAATTTTAGGCGTTTTGCTTTTTTTCTGTAAAAATGACAAAAACGCCCCCTCGGTTAATTGTTGACGAACTTTGACAATTACATACTGGCGATCTACTTGGGTTACATTAATATTTTTTATGTCTATGGGGAGCCCAAAACACATTCTTTATATATATTAATTTATAAAATGACTCAGCTGTACGAAGTATCTGTACCTTTTGCGGGACGTTTACGTTAATGTTATGCGAAAACCAAAAAGTACGAATTTTGAAATCAATTTTCTCAAAACACCCATTTTTTATATTTTTTTATTTTTCGTTAAAATGTAGCTATGATAGTTGTCTACTCGAAAATCAAGTCGAGAATGTGTGTAGTTTGTTTGTATGTTCTATATTTAAGCCTCAATATCGGAAAAGGACGTCCTCGTTTTGCAAGACCTAAGTCAGACATAGCGACCTGTGCGTTTCTACGAATTGTGAAAAAGTTTTCTTGAATTTTTGCTTGTGTTTTGTAATCAATTATAAACGTATTTTGTGGTACTAATAGTTATTTATGTTTTAATAAGAGAGGGAAACCACAAGAAACATATCAAATCAGCAGGCCTGGTACACCTTCAACATCGAAGAGGCACAGACGTTGTATTGTTTCGATTTATAAAACCTTCACTGTAAACTGGCATGACTAGATATT